GAGGTGACTTGAGTGAAACACTTTGAACCGTACACTTGAGAGTTGAGTTGTATACACCATCTTGTGAGATCTTTCATGCTTAATCTATACACTTTGAATGATATTGCTTGGCTTGCATTTTTTAGAGGTTAGGAGTTGGATGTTTGATTGTTGTAGAACTCTTGATACTTTATTTGATCTTGTGTCCCTAAGTTCAGCACTTCTAAGGATTCATTGGAGAATTTTTTTATTTGTTTTGATTATTCTATATTTTTTTTAGGTTACATGTTTTTATTTGTTTGATTGTGTCTTACATGAGGACATGCAAGAGCTAAGTGTGGGGGAATTTGATCAATTGAATTTTTATAACATTATTTCCTCTCATTCGTAGCTCATTAATCCTCTTTTGTGCTTAATTGGTTGAATTGGATCATGTTATGATGTTTGAATTCTATTTGGGCTTTATTTAATTTTTCCAGTATTTGGCAAATTCTGATACTATTTTGGTTTCTAGACTATATCTTGAGTTGTAGAACTCCTTTCATTTTGATTCTTGATTTGTAGGAAAGCTAAGAGAAAGGTGCACAATTGCTATGAGAGGTCAGAAACAAATTCTAATGATAAGAAGCTGAAACTGGGCCTGGAGGAAGTCGAAACGCTGCAGTCGCAGATCCTAAGCAAGGTGCAGTATTTTGGCTATATCTCAGTCCACAGATGTCTGATTAAGCCCATTTCAGTGGCGTTTTGAAGCTAACATCCAAGGCTACAATTGTCCTTTAGGCCATGAACCAAAAAGAGGCCGTTTTCATAGCCGAAAAAATGGAACAAAGCGACGAACGGAATTTTTGAATTTTAAATTTTGAATTTTAAGTTGTTTTTGGCTCCTCTCCTTTCTTCTTCTTTTTTCTCTCTGTTTTCATTTTTTTTCTCCCCTTTCATGAATTGTTTTCCTCCATCCATGGAGGCTTAGATTCCCATCTGATTCAAGGATTAAAAGAGATGTGACACTCTTGAGGATTGATTGATCGCACATTGGCATAAATTCAATAACAATTTCGGGTTTCATCTATTCCTTATTCTCTCCCTTTTGCTAATTATATTTTTGAATTGAAGTTATTCATTTGGATTGATGATTATGCATGTGGTTGATTACGTATTATTCGATTGATGTATGTAATTGAGTTTTAAGGAACATGAATTGGATTTTCAAGTTTGAAAACTACGATTAACGGCATTGGTAAATTAAATTGGCACAATTCAATTAGGTTCTAGAGTTTTCTGAATTTTAATTAATTATGTGCTAATCGAATGCATGAAGGTCTTCATGTGAATACTGAGTTCGAATTAAGGTTTCATTCGGATTCATTGTTAATTACCAAATTGTTTGTTGATGTACTCTCTTAAAAATCCAGTGATAGAGTAGTCATTTTTCTTCTTAATTCTTGGATTGGAATTTCAATTTCTGTTCACTCTTCATTCTAATTATAATTAAGTGCATTTTTGTTTCCTTTATAAACAAACCCCCCGTCTTATACACTCTCTAAATAGATTAATTTGTCATTGTGATTCTTTGAGAAACGACCCTAGTTGCTTGCCCCTACTATAGTAATTAGGTTTATTTTGACTCGTGTACGACCTCGTGTCAACTATCTATACTTATTCTTTTTCTCTTTCTCAGTATTTCTCATTTCCATATTCTTTTTATCGATCAACATATCATAATACTTGAGTTACGATTTATATAAATTCATGGATCACAATATATATTATAATACACCCTTCAATGTGTTATAATATATATCCTAATCATCCTTTTCAAATTATTTTGACCCACGCATTATAATCATGCATCTCTTTCATACATCATATACTTTCAAAATCAATCAACACTTCAATTATTCAAGTGAATTTACTCAGTTGAATATATTTCAGTTATCAAATCATATCTATACTTATTGCATCATGTCAGTCTAATATAGAAAGTTATCATATAATATTACACCATACAATCAATACAATATGCCAATCTAACACAAAAATCACCACAATTATCATACCATACAATCAATACAATATGTCGAAGGTCGGACACCTTCGGACTCAGTTCAACTCGTATGATCTCAATATGGTCTTCTAACTTAAAGTTTATTATTTTGTATCATTTATTATTTAACTCATATATATCCTAAGTAACTTAGCCTTAAAACTTCTTGATGTTGTTCTAACCCATAGCTTTCCCTAAGAGTCTGATTTCATTAGTTTCAAATAAACCCAAAACCTTCCTTTATCTCAAAAATACACTTTCACCATATGATTTCATAAAAATTATAGATTACTACTAAAATATGTTATTCAGATTCTTCTAAGATCATTATATATGTATATAAAACTAAGGCTTGAGAATACTCCCTTTACCTGGTAACGATTTCCCAAAACTAGTTTTCTTGAGAGATTTCACAATATAAACGGAGATATTGTCCAAAAGATGAAGTTTCCTAAGTATTTCAAAGAAAATCGAAAAAAAAGGAATAAAATAGAAATCTGAGCTCCGAGAAACTTACTTAGATTTGAATGAAATTGATGTTTGAGCTTGGATCTGGAAGAGATTTCAAGTCTGTGAGAGTTCTCTTTAGAGAAAGGAAGGAGAAAAGACAAAGAGAATGAAGAGAGAAGGTCGTTTGGTAAGAAATGAATGTTTTTGAAGCTGAGGTTCCTTAAATATCCTTCTAAACTCACGCGACCTCGCTTGAGTAATAAAATTCTCGCTTAAGCGAGCTTCCATCCTCGCTTCAGCGAGATAACCAGACAGCGAGACTACTCATTTTTCTAATATTCTTGCTTGAGCGAGATTGAGTCCAAAGAGCACCCTATCTTTCCTGCGACTCCTCGCCTGAGCGAGCTCTATCTTGCTTGGGCGAGCTGCTCCCAGCCTGAGCGAGACCATTTTCTCGCTTGGGCGAGAGGACAGTTGGGGTAATATTATCTCATCTCGCTTGAGCGAGAGAGTTCCAGAACGTTCTCTTTTAGCAAAACTTTTGTCGCTTGAGCAAAATCTATCTCATTTGAGCGAGATATCTTTTATCCAAATTCTTATTTTTCCTATCTAAGAGTAACAAAATTGAAGGTGTTACATGGAACTGCTCTCCAAAATATGACCGGGAATCTGAAATTTGAAACTTATTTCTTTGTAAGTTTTCTAGATTTATTGCAGGGAAATGTGTATACACAAAGAGTAGTATATATCAAAGGCTTCTTTTACTAAGTAACATTCGTCATATGATATTTTCAATACATCAAAAGATTATCTAGCTCTATATATTAACTTTTCTAATCATTTTAACAGCTTTCTAATCAAGTTTAAAGAGTCTTTGTGAAAGTTTTGGAAGAAGTTCGGAAAATGTTTCATTTTTAGGATGGCAAAATTCTTCGGTCTACTTCACATACCTTGATAATTGAAGAATAAATAAAATAAAGCTTTATTAACTTTAATCTTACAATTGGGTTTAAGCATCCATAAATATATTTTTTTATAAAAAAAAAGTGTATATTTATTATATTAAAGTTATAATAATATAATAAATGTTTTTCTTTTAATGAAATTTTATTATTATTATTTGTTTATCCTCAAATAAAGCTGACAATTTCCATGAAAAATGCTTAAATGACATTGAAAAAAAAAACCTTAACATTACCTGTATTTTGTTATGCATAATTATAATTTGCATTACAAGATTTAAAAAAAATATTGAGTAGAATAAGAAACATGTAGGTAAATAAAAAATGTGTAAGTAATAATAAAATGTTTAATAAATCAATTTTTCTATTGTACAAAATTGCATAGAAAAAATGATATATAATTTTTTATTAAAAATTATAGCATTTAATAATATTAATGTATTTAATTACATTAAATTATGTAATTTTTAATAAAAAGATACTGTGCATGACTTCTTATATCTTATGCAACAGTGAACAGATTAGAAAAATTGTTAACAAAATTACCTCAATATCACTATATTTAGTATATTTTTTAAACTATAACATTGCTAAAAATATTAATAAGTTTTATTAAAAATCACATTTGTTTATATCAAAACAATTATTTGTAATAAATTATTTATAATAAATTACAATATATATATATATATATATATATGAAATAAAGTTATTGAAAAAAAAAGAGGAAATGAATTTATTTTAAAAACTTTTTTACTTGGTTTTCGATGACAACTCTTTTAAAATATTTAAGAAAATAACTTTAGAAAGATCACGATGTTTATGCTTCACCTTTAAAGTACTGTAATACATCTAATCTTTGACATCAGTTAAGATATTCACTATTTTGATATTTATACACAAGTATTTCACCATCTAATTATTCTTTTAAAATTTTTAATAAGTTCAAATAAAACTTAAGTATTCTTTTATATATTATCCCTTTAGGCAACTACAATATTTTAAAAAAAAATACATATAATACTTAATCTTTGTTTTAAAAAAAAATTCTTTTTAAAAATGGAAAAAACATGCTTTTAGATTCACATACCATAACTACCTTTGTAGTTAACTTCTCTCAAGCCTTGATCTTATCTTTTTTAGGAGTTTTATTTTTTGTATTCATGCTAAGTTGTTAAAAACTCCATGATGTTTTCTCTACTAAAACTTCGTTACATTGAATTGTTGCATTTGAACAAGTCCAGCCACTATAAGATGACGTAAAGCCAAGCAGCATTTCGTATTTGAGAAGTCTTCTTTTCTAGAAATTAAATTTTATTTTGAATAATGATTGAACATTGAATAAGTCTAGTAATGTGCCGAGGTTCAAACTGCAGCGTCAATTTTAAATATTTGTCCACTATAGTCAGGAATAATCCAACTAGTCAAAGAATGATAGAAAATAGCACATTAAAAATTAGATGATCTATGGTACTATAAATTAGCGATAAATGTTCTAAGCTAAATCATTCTACTCCTCATTAATTTACCCATCTATCAGAGAGTGACTTAAACCATCATCACCAATGAGACTCCATTTGGCTTTGTTGCCTTTCTTTATATTCTTATGCTTTATAAACCTAAGTATCAATATCTATGCGACAACAAGCAAATGTCTTGCTCACGAGCAATTCTTGTTGCTCAGTATGAAGCACAACCTTATATTCAACCATGCCAAATCCCAAAAACTAGTTCACTGGAATCAAAGTGGTGATTGTTGTCAATGGAAAGGAGTAGCATGCGAAGAGGGACATGTAATTGGTCTTGACATGAGTGAAGAATCTATCACTGGAGGCCTAGATAATTCAAGTCTCTTCAACCTTCAATATTTGCAGAATTTGAATTTGGCTCACAATGACATCCATTCTATGATTCCTCCAACGTTTGGCTTGCTAAAGAATTTGAGGTATTTGAACTTGTCAAATGCAGGATTTCAGGGACAAATTCCAATTGAGATTGCTCAGCTAACAAAGCTGTCTACTCTTGATTTGTCTATATCATTTACCTCGCAACATACTCTAAAACTTGAGAGGCCAAATATAGGAATACTCATGCAGAACCTCACAGAAATCACAGAATTGTATCTTGATGGTGTGAGGGTATCTTCAATTGGAAAGGAATGGTGCAATGCCATCTCTTTATTGCACAAACTTGAAGTTCTAAGTATGTCATCTTGCAACCTCTCAGGACCAATTGATTCTTCACTATCAAAGCTTCAGTCTCTCTCAGTAGTTCAATTGAACATGAATAATATGACAAGTCCAGTGCCAAAATCGTTGGCAAATCTCTCAAGTTTGACAACTTTACAACTTAGTAGTTGTGGATTGACTGATGCTTTTCCAAAGGATATCTTCCAAATACAAAAGCTAAAGGTCCTTGACGTATCAGATAATGAAGATCTTCATGGTTCCTTGCCAAACTTCCCCCAAGATGGATATCTTCAAACCTTGAATCTTAGCAATACGAATTTCTCTGGGCAGTTACCAGGTACTATTTCCAATTTGAAGCAATTGTCTATGTTAGATCTATCCAATTGCCAATTCAATGGAACACTCCCTGTTTCATTATCAGGACTCTCCCAACTTGTTCATTTGGACTTGTCGTTCAATAACTTCAATGGCCCTCTTCCATCTCTTAACAAGTCCAAGAATCTCAAATATTTATCCCTTTTTCAAAATAATTTCACTGGGCAAATTACATCTACTCACTGGAAGGAACTTTCAAATCTCATTAGCATCAATTTAGGTGATAACTCCCTCAATGGGAAAGTCCCCTCAATAGTCTTTACACTTCCATTTCTACAGGAACTTGTCCTTTCTCACAATGGATTTGATGGACTATTAGATGAATTCCCAAGTGCATCTTTCTCCACATTGCAGTTTGTTGATCTAAGTGATAATAAATTTCAAGGACCTATTCCCAGGTCTTTTCTTCATCTTAGAAGTCTTAGTTACCTCCATCTTTCTTCAAATCAATTCAATGGCACCATAAGGCTTGATATGTTTCAAAATCTTCAAAATCTACATACATTAGGTCTTTCACACAACAACTTGACTGTTGATACCACTTTCAATGATGATGATGGCCTTCCATCATTTCCTAACATGACAAATCTATATCTGGGTAATTGCAAGTTGAAGAAGATTCCTGCTTTCTTGAAAAATCAATCTCAAATACTTGATTTAGATCTGTCTAGCAACCAAATTCAAGGAATGATACCCAATTGGATTTGGAGATCTGAAAATATGTTTAATTTCAACCTTTCCAACAATTTTTTTACAGGTATGGAAGGACCCTTTGAAAATCTTAGTTTTAATACGTTGATGGTTGATCTTCACAACAACCAACTTCATGGGTCTATTCCTACTTTCATAAAAAGTGCTGTTCATTTGGACTACTCAAGCAATAACTTCAGTATTATACCACCTGACATTAAAAAGTACCTTCGTTTCACATTTTTCCTTTCCCTTTCAAATAATAGTTTTCATGGAAATATTCCTCAAGCATTTTGTAATTGTTCTATTCTACGAATGCTTGATCTTTCTCATAATAACTTCAATGGCTCCATCCCCGAGTGCTTAACCTCAAGAAGCAGTACTCTTAGGGTATTAGATTTAGGTGGAAACAAATTGACAGGTTCTATATCTAATACAATTTCAAGATCATGTAATTTAAGATCCCTTAATCTCAATGGGAATTTCTTGGGTGGTACCATTCCAAAATCTTTGGTAAATTGCCAGAAATTAGAAGTCTTGAACTTAGGAAACAACATGTTGAGAGATAGATTCCCGTGCTTTTTATGGAATATTTCCACCATTCGAGTGTTGATTTTAAGGTCCAACAAACTCCATGGTCCCATTGGATGTCAACATAGCACTCGTAATTGGACAATGCTTCGTATTGTTGATATAGCTTCCAATAATTTCAATGGTGCACTACCACAAGCACTTTTGCGAAGTTGGATAGCAATGATGGGTGATGAAGATGAATCACAACAAATGTCTGGAAATTTATTTTTTGACATGTATGATTTCCATCATTCTGTGAGGTACAATGATGCATTGGCTAGTATTGATAAAATTCTTGTCATGAGAATAGCCAAAATGTCTGCAGCTCTACCTCGTTTGCAAATTGACACTCTATTTTCTTACTTTGTCAATGCCTACCAATTGCAATTTGGGGGATCCTACCTTGATTCAGCTACTGTTGTCAATAAAGGCTTGCAAATGAAGTTGGTCAAAATTCCAGCTATCTTTACTTCATTGGATTTCTCATCCAACAATTTTGAAGGTCCAATACCAGAAGAGCTTATGAGTTTTAGAGCATTGATTGTTCTTAACTTATCACATAATGCTTTTTCAAACCATATACCATCATCTTTAGGACATTTGATTCAACTTGAGTCCTTGGACCTATCAAGTAACTTTTTGAGTGGAGAAATTCCCATAGAGATTTCAAGTTTGTCTTTCCTCGCAGTTTTGAATCTCTCCTTTAATCATTTGGTGGGGAGAATTCCATTAGGAACTCAAATACAATCCTTTGAAGAAAATTCCTTTGAAGGGAATGATAGGTTATGTGGACCTCCACTAACCAAAAAGTGTATTGATGATGGGAGACAAGGTTCACCAACACCACCATCACTTGCATATGAAACACATGGCTCAATTGATTGGAATTTTTTAAGTGTTGAGTTAGGATTCATTTTTGGACTGGGATTAGTCATCCTTCCCCTTATTTTGTGCAAGAGATGGAGGTTGTGGTACAGTAAGCATGTGGAGGATTTGCTGAGCTGGATTTTTCCTCAACTTTATTTTGTATATAAACATCATGAAGAGCAAAAGTACAGGTCTTTACAATGGAGGTTTGGTTGATTTTGCAGTGTTCAAGTAGTTTATCATGTAATAATTTTGTATAACCTTTTGAATTGGGAGAGGGTAAGGTAGGGATTGTATTCATTTTCAAAGATGAAATGTTGTACTACTTTAAAGTTATAAATAAAATAATAAGCATTACAATTACAAATTACTGCCATACCTATATATTGAGAATAAAAAATATTGATCACGGACCGAAACTTAAGGATCACAAACGTTTCTTCCAATAATATACGCAATAATTACATAATGAAAATTTAAAAATATTGATCAATTTAATAGCAAAATAAAAATATTGATCAATTTAAATCCAAGATTACAAACAAGATTCAAGAATAAGGAGCAGAAATTAAGAGGGAAAGCAATTAAATAACAATTAGAATTTGACATTCAAACCAAACCTCAAAACTCTTCATTTAATCCCACAAAATAAGTGGATTGATCAAAGGCTCTTTTATATATGTAGTGAGAGAGAGAGAGAGCCGTTTTCACAATTTATAAATCCAAATCTAAAACTTAAAATAACAAAGTATATCCATCATTGATCTTATTTATGTGTTAAATATTCTAAATAATAATGTCAACCATTTTGTTTTCTCCTTCTTTTCTTCTTTCATGCAAGTTCAACACTTCTTTAGTTTGTATTTTCTCGAAAAAATCCACAAGTTCAGAAAAAAAAATTATTTTCTAGAAGAAAAAGAAAATAAAAAAAGGACAGAGGGATTTCTTTTCAGCCTTTTCTTTGGCTTCTTTCGATCTTTCTAATTCCGATTATATGCAAACTGGGATCTCCAATTTCATTTTTAAAAATCTTTAATCTTTATCTTTTACCAAATTTTTGAAGGGTTTGTAATGAAATTGAAATCTGAAATGATTCTAAAGTCTTAGTGCATGTGTGTTTGGATTAGATTATCTTGGATGACTATTTAAACAAAAAAAAGACTTTAAAACATTATTAATCTTATTTGCTAACTTTTACAAAACAACTCACAATCTTTATTATTATTTTTTACAAAATTCTGAAGGTCATGATGAAAAATTATCAACTTATTATCTGGTTAAGTTCTATTTTCTATTTTATCCTTCATAAATGAACTATTTTATAATCATTTAAAATAAAATATAATGCCCTTAATTTTTAATTTATAAAAACTTAAATAACAAATAAAAATTTTATATTTATATATATATATATGGCTTTTTTACGTGAATAAAACATTTCAAAAACAAAATTACGCATGTATCCTCAAATTTTTTTTTATACAAATGTCCTAAATCTGAAACATTGAAGTCGATTAAAAATAACTTATCTATCCTACAGAAGTCGATTAAAGCTGACTCCCATTTGCCATTGATACTCTAACAGAAATCGATTAAAGTCGATTTTATTGCTGCAAGGAAGACGATTACAATCGACTTTCAGCCTCCAAAGAAGTCAATTTAAGTTGACTTCCATCTTGCTGGTTTCTGGTCCTTTGAAGTCAATTATAATCAACTAACATGTTAAAGGGAAGTCAATTAAAATCAACTTCAGTGTAATTCTAGGGACAAGTATAATCGACTACTTCATATATATCATTCTCCTTCCCACCACAGACAACAGCCACCATAGAGAAAGAGAAATCAGAAAAAAACAGCCACCATAAAGAGTGGAGACTAGAGAAAGTGAGATCGAAAAAAAGCATATACAATGGAAAAAAAAAATGGATAATAATCTATATCGGCTCAATTTTGTTGATCATATTGCAAGCAAACTTAACACACAAGTAAATTAATTTTTAAAGATATTTAGTTAAATTATAATTAATTATTTTTATAATTAATTTAATGTATTATTAATTGTGTAATTATTATTTAGAAAGATGTGTAAATATTAATTATTATATTGTAAATTAAATTAAATTGTTTGTTATAATTATAATTATTATACTAAGGAATGTAAACTAATTATGCCTATTTCAAGTGAAAAAGTTATAGGTCATCGACGAGATCAGATACAGATAAGTTAATGCGATATAGGAGGATCATTGATTCAATTGGCATTACTGGGATAAGTTCAAATATAGTTTATGTTACTAAATTATTTTGTTTTAAATAATTTTATTTTTTGATCTAATATTTGTTATTTATTATTTCAGTTTAAGTGGATGCCCTACAACAACAATGAGATCAGGAACATTACACCTCATTTTGTATATGATGAGGTTGATGTTTGGGCATCTGTGACTACTCTTATATAGTTTACTGTGATTGAGTAGCACCCTGATGATCACGTAGTTCGACAATTTGGTGGAGCACAACACATACCAATCAGCCCGATAAATATTGATCAGTTGCATGCTAACAATGGGAGGGGTGATCTAGATATATGGTGGCTTGATTATCATGTGACATAGCATGTTGTATGGGCAGCACGTAGGGATCGGCGAGTTCCATTTCCGCTAGCTGATGATAATCGTCCCTCTGTCCAATACTTTCAGTGGTACTTGTCAATCGCTAATAGATTTTTGTCGTTGGATGGAGGCCCACAGGATGAAGAGCTTAGGGACTTACCTGATAGTGTACCACTACATGCCCCCCAGCACCTAACATAACACACCCTAATGACGTTCCAGATAAACGCTCTTTCATGCGTCATTTGCGTGCAAGTACATGTGCTAGCAGACGTCAGTACCGTGATGAGGCTCATATACCAGCCGACCTCCTAGCACACAATGTAGAACCTGATGCAAATCCAACTATACAGCATACCTCACACTATGTATACCACCCAATACCCACATACCCTAGCCACCACTTCATGTCAGGACCAAGCCAACAGCAATACATGGCTGGTCCTTCTCAGCACTAGTTCATGTCGGGCCCTAGCCAACCATGTATGACCCCTAGTCAGTATTTTATGGCAGGCCCTAGTCATCAGTTTATGTCAGATTTTGAGGTTACTCACAATCCTATGCAACATTTTGTCACAAGTCTAGCTCAGGATGATATTACACGACATATATCTTTCAGTCCACCTTTCATGTCAGATGCTGAGGTTATGACTTGGCTGAATTCGACTAGTACAAGCAGATCTGTACCACCACTAGATAATCTATATCGACCATCACTAACACATATCTGAACTCCCTCATTTAATGGTTCATTGGAGGAGGAGGAGCATCACACACCTATCCAACAGCAGGAGGAGGAACATGCACACTGCAGACATGTACGACAGATTTTATATCATTGTTGTGCAACAGGAGGTCACCTTGCTGGGCACAGACGCAATAGGCATGGCTCATAGTCACGTATGTTGCATGGTGATCTAAATATTTTGTGTACTATGTACTTTGAAATTTAATTTTCTTTATTTTAGAATTTTAATTCACTATGCCAAAATGAAGATCTGAGAGCGGTTCCATTTTAAATTAGAGAGTGTTTAGAACTGCTTTAAAATCTTGCACTATCTGATGTGTTATATTAAGAAAGCGATTAAACAACCGCTCTTAAAAGTTAAGATTGGAGAGTGGTTCCGAGTATAGGCGTAAGATTAGAGAGCGATTCCACGTAGAACTGCTCTCCAAAGTATAAATGTAAACCGCGAATTTGAAATTTGAAATTAGTTTCTTTTTGAGTTTTCTATTGCAAAGTAAAATTGATTTATTATTGCATTTAAATCAAAATTTAGAATTGATTTCTTTGTGAGTTTTCTTCATTTTTATCACAAATCAAAATTGAAACTTAAGTTTATATGTTTGATATTAACTAAACAGTCCATATCTGCATAAACCAAACAGAAAAAAAAAAAACAAATTAGTAGGATGATTTTCAACGTTAATAGAGAGAAAAAAGAAAGAATAAATGAATGAAAAAATACCTACAGATGTGAAAAAAAAAAAACTAATTTATTAACGCAAAAAATATAAAGAAAACAGGCTAATTATTTAATAATTTATATAATTTAATAATTTAATTAATTGATATTATTTAATAATTTATAAAATTATTATGTAAAAATATTAACAAATTTAATTAAAATTATTAATTTTTAATTAAAATTATCAATTTTCTTTAATTTGAATAAAAAATTTAAATAAATTAATACGACGTTACATAAATCGATTATAATCAACTTTCATATTGCATTGCTGAAAATTATTATAATTAAATTTAAGTCTTACGTGAAATTAATTATAATTAAATTCTATATATTTTAAATCAGGATATTTATGTAAAAATAAAATTTTAAAAACATATATATAATTTTATATTTAAAATATTTTATTTTTTAAATTTTTCATATATATATATATATATATATATATATATAATTAAGCCTTCTAATTTTATTCATTCTATGATATACGACAACTTACCTACCAACCACAATAGCACAAGCTTTATGTCTATTCATGCTCAATTAATCGATTATCTTGAACCTTGTAGCTTGTACCAAAACCATTGCTTTCAAGCCAGTTGACCCCACTCTTAGGAAGATAACCTTCGCAAGCTCACATCAATCACTTATTATAATAATAATAACAACAAAGATGATGATAATGATAATATTAGAAATAGTGATAACAATAATTTTGAGGATAGCTTTGTCTGAATATGGGACCACCATCAGCATTTTTAATGACACGCAGGTCCCACGCTTCGTGTTTGTTAAATTGTAGGTTTGGATTCTGCAATCTGACGCGGTTTAAAGAGTATCAGTTTCAGGTCATTCTTCTTAATACTCCTATCTGCTTGTGATATATATCTCCAATTTGCCGCAGAAAAAAAAAATCGATGTACTTTTGCCGCATATTTATAGTATAAAATTAAGCAATTTTTTTTCATCCGACTCCAAAACTAATAAGATAATATAATAGTATATCTGGTGTATTTCAATTTTAAAAAATAATCATTTATTTACAATTTTTAAAAATAAAAATAAATCATAAAATCATGAAAGTTTAGGCTTAAAGGAGATAATATGATACTAATATAGAGATACTTGTAAAGTT